CGCGGGCCGGGCCGCTGCGGGGAGCTCTTGCTGCGGGTACCGCGCCGGGAACGTCACGGAGGGGTCCGGAGGAGGAGGGCCGGGGCCCAGAGCGGCTCCGCAGGCGTCCCGGCCTCGCTCCCGCGCGGGTCCGACGCCCCGGCTGCGTCTGGACTCCCGGAGGAGGTTTCCGCTCCAGCCACGTGCGGCGAGGGGCTGAACGCCAGACCACGAACGCTGTCCTAGGGCCCTGGAGCCAGGATTCCTGACTGTGTCCCCGTCCTGCCCCTGCACCCCGCCTTTGCGGGTGGGCGTGAATGGCTCTGGAACTCAGCCCTCTCGGCGGCTCCAGCTTACTGAATGGATGTGTAGTATGGCTAGCAGCCCTAGATGGTGCAAAATGACACAATAAAGAGAACTGTATCAGCCAAGTATTTGGTGGTGGGACTGTGCAAAATGCCTTCTATGCAGCTAATTCTCACAGCCACCCTTAGTAAAAGAAGCAACCGAGGCTTAGAAGGCTTAGACGTTGTGCTTGAGGTGAAGATAATAACAGGCACAGCTGGGCTTCGAGCCACTCCAGAATATATCCTTCTGCCAGTTCTAGTTGATTGATAGCAACTTCCTGAAGGTGATAGCAGTTCTAGTTGATTGATAGCGACTTCCTGAAGGTGGGTTAAGAAGGATTGGTGGGCTGCGTCTCTGCTCTTGAGGAAAGAACATTCCAAAGCCTGGGAGTGTAGCTTGATGGTGAAGGGCTTCCTACTATGTGCAAGGTCCTGGGTTCCATTCCCAGCACTGAAAAAATAACATTAAAAAAAAAAAAAAATCCTTAAACCAGCAAAGCCACAAAGAATGCTGCAGATCAGTTTACCATACCGGTTTCCTTTGCTGGGATTGGGTTTTTTCCCATACCAGGCCACTTTAAAAACAGCGTCTTTAAACTGGACATGGTGGCACACACCTAAAATTCCAGCCCTTGGGAAGCTGAGGCAGAAGGTTGCTGTGAGTTTGAGGCCAGCCTTGGTACACAGTGAGTTCAAGGTTAGCCTGAACTACACAGCGAACCCCTGTCTCAAAAAACCAAAACCCAAATCAAACCAAACCAAACAACTAAGCAATCAACCAAACAAAAACAGTATCTTTGTTACATGAGTGGTACTGGTGCAATATTTATAGTGTCAGACTGCTAAGGACAGATGCTTCTATTCTAGGCCTTTGCCTCACTAAGAAAAATGAAAGCCAGAGTTTGACACCTAGCATTTGCAATTTTCACGTGAAGAATTTTATCTGTGCTATAACAGCACCGGATTGCAGATATGATTTCACGTAACAGGAGAGGAGAAGGAAGGAATGGTTTTCCTGAAGTTATTCAATTAATATACATGTAGCAGGGGTTAGTTGGAGACAGAGTCTAGTCTGAGAGTAGCTAACCACCACAACTACTACAGACTACCATCATTGCTACAGGAAACTACCACGAACGAAGTGTGACACAAATTCTGACGGCTGGAAGTCTGAAAATGGGTCTTTGGGGATTGAAATCAAAGTGCCTGGCCAGCGCTGTCCTCTGGAGTCCTGAGAGGCAAATTATTTTTTTTCTTGTCTCTTTTTAGTAGTAGTATATGTTCGTGCTACATAAGAAGTACATTCATTATGGGGTTTGGTCCATATATGTAGCACATCTTGACCCTTTTTACTTTTCCTTCTTGTTCCTTCCCTCCTATGTCCCCATCCTGAGGTCCCCTTTCATCTCCACAAAGTCAAACCCAGTCAATAAATATTGAACACCTTTTATGCCAGAGGCAACTTAATAGAAAGATTGACTTTCAAAAGTTGGTGACTTCACTGGAACATAGAATTTATAAGAAATGAACTAAAGGATTGAGACAAAAGAAAGTATAGAAGTGATATGAGATGGTATGTAATTAATAGCCCAGGGAATGATTAGATAAAAATTTTATTTGGAAGTTAGATTCATACATTTGAGTGGAGATGAAACCGGAAAGGTGGGAGGAGCGTTGTGATCTTAAATGGCAAGTTAAGGAGTTTAGATTTAATTCATACCAGCAACTACCATAATGTCAGTAAGTCAGTGCTGAGTAATTTACCAAATGCCACTTGTATTTTTTACTTCATCCCTTCTTTCTCCAATGAGCAGAATAGTGCAGATGTAGCTAAACACACACACACACACACACACACACACTCAAACATATGCACACCATATATCATGTGGGAAAGGAAATGCAGGCCTCTTATAAAAGAGACTTTCTTAACTACTATTATATGTAAATTACCCATGCCCTCTTCATTTATTTGACATTCTTTCTTTATCAATGCACTGCCATAGTTTATTTCTTTCTCATCCCACCTTCTGTTTTTTGTTCAAACCTATTACAACACCTTGATATAGTACATATTTATTTGTTGTATTCTACATTCTATGAGGTCAGGAACTTTGTCTCTTTTGTCTATTGCTATATCTTTATTACCTAAAGCAATGTCCAACACTTAGTAAGTGCTCAGTAAATATTTGTTGAATGAATCATTATCCCCAATTTACAAATAAGGAAATTAAAATCCTAAAAGGTTAAATGACATTTACAATGTTGTACAGCTATTAATTGGCTTTACCAATACTAAAACTCAGTGTCCAGTTCAGTCCTCTTAGATTCTGTGTTTTTGTCTGAGTGAAAGTCATTATTGGTGTTTAAACAGAGGCAGAAATATACTTAAAATATATAAGAATTTGAGACTAGAATCTCTTTAAATGTCAATCTTTCCGTAAAACTTCTTCAGTTTAGCTGAATTGGCAAGAAGAACTGGCAGAACAGAGTTACCAAGAGTAGATCCTGGAGGACTATCATTGTGTCCAAGTTGTTTGGCACTGAATTACAGCATTATACTGTAAGTTTTGCAGTTGTTCTCAAGTTAATTCATGTGCATTTCTTGACACTGTCTGTCTTAGTTACTTTTCTCTCATTGCTGAGACAAAATACCTGACACCCAAAGTTAAAGGAGGAGAAGTTTATTTAGTTCACAGTTTGTTGAAGTTTCAGTCCATAATCAGCGGGCTCCAAGACAGGGTGGCCTGGCAGACAGGCATCACAGCAGAGAAACAGTTCATGGTGGGCAGAAAGTAGCAAAGCAAGCAAAAGGAAACCAACAAGTGACTTTAGCAGCTTCTTTCTGCCGCTTTTTATATTCTATCTAGGCTACCAGGATAACAGTGGTGCCAAACCAGTCAGTGAACTAATTTAATAATCACACACACTTCATCCTAGCATGACACACTCTAGATTCAGCCACCTCTGAAAAAGCCCCTACTTATGCTTGCGTGAGGCTTTGGAGCGACATCTAGACACAAGCTATAACACTCTCTATTGTAGGCACTTTGGGCTCAGGGACCATAACTTCTACTTCTTTCATATCCCTGCATTCTGCCAAGTACTGACTTCTAAATAAAATCATCACTGCATAGTTACCAGGTGATCCTCATCTTTCCAAAACTATCATATCTTTGTAAAACATACTCAAGGCAGGAAGAAAAGAATCCCAGTAGGAAATGGAGTTTCTAATATTTTTTCACAAAAGGAAAAATATTTGTCAGAAGGTACTGTCTTATCCCTAGGTCATTAGCCAGAATTTGGTCACTAGATCACTCAGAGAGGCTATGAAAGTGAACCTGTAGCATGGGCTTGCTTTCATTTTTTGAGGCTAGACATCTTTCTGGCCCAATCAGAGCTGAACTTCTACAGGCAAGGGAAAATGAAGATGGAGCATGGGTTCATCCTGTGACAATGGCTTTTAGGAGAATCACCAGAGAAAAGCTGAAAGCTCACAGTGAGGTCCATTTCAGTGTTACCAGAGTGCACTTGGATTTCCGGAAGCCCGTGGCAAGCACATTGTTTTTCTCCCTCTTTGTTCCCTTCCTCCCTCCCCTTTTCTTTCCTCCTCTTTTCCCTCTGGATGAGCCACTTTCACATTACTATACAGCAACCTCTGAAGCAATTATTTATAAAGAGAAAGGTTTCATTTGGCTAACAGTTTGGAGCTTCAAATCTAAGATTAAGGAGCCCTCCTGGTTCTGGCTTTGATGAGGCTGGCGTAATGACGTTGGGAAGAGCACATGTTGGAGCAAGTGGTCACATCTTCAGTCAGGAAGGAGAAGGGGAAGGTGGGACTCTTAAGGTACCGCTCCAATGCCCTATGCACCCCCATAGGACCCAGCTCCCCAAAGTTTCCCCCTCCTACCTTGCAGCTCTGGGATCCAAGACTATGGTTTGGGGAATACCTATCCAAACCATCGCACTCTCCCTCTTTGTCTTTCTTTTTGATACTAAATAGTCCTCTCTAGCATCAGTTTTTGTCATACTTGGAATTCTGTTATATATTTAATCAGTGCCATGTGTGGAACATTTAGGTTATTTCTACTTGGAATACTCTTATAGTAGGTTTGTTCAAGTGTGTGGATGAGAGACACTCAAATCACCATGAGCCTGCTATCCTGCTACTCATAAGTTCACACTTTCCATTCCTGTAATAGGAGTTGTAATAATACACTTGTATATTGTTCTACAAGACCAAAGTATATAAACTGGCATTTCCACACAACATAATATAACTTGGCAACAAAATGAATGAAATACAGATGTGTGGTCTG